TGGGGATTTCTGGGAGTTGAAGTCCACTCATCTTAAAGTGGCCAAGTTTGGACAACACTGGTCTAGCGGCTCCACTCCCCATCAAGATGTTGCTTTCTCGTTCTTGTATTCTTTTCCTAGCCTTCCATCCTGCGCTTACGTTTCTTGGGATTCTGCCTGATCTCCGGTAGATCCCACCGGTTTAGTGAGACTTACTCCCAGGTAAAACGGGAACGGGATTTCTAGTGTAAAGTAAACCAGCAAAGAAATTCATGCAAGTGGAAGCAAAATTCTGCAGAACTTGACGGGATCTGCCCTCTAAAGCAGATCGAAGCTGAGTTGGTACAGCAAACTGACTCACGAAGTAGTCACATTTCCTCCTCGTGTGTGGTGGGAACTTGGCTCCTGTACTGTAGTTCGTTTGGTTGATTTTTGTTAGTTCAGTGTGTTGTATGAAGTAAGAAAAGGAGCAAAACTGAATTAATCATGGCTTATGAACCTAGGTTAAACCTGTCCTGTGTTTGTAGCCAAAATAGGATTGGGGAAGCCTCAATTCAAATTCCCAGATTTCAGTTTTCTGCGGTCAAATGTATGCTCATCCAAGAAATTCGTAGGGCAAAACTTGATAGTAGCTTTAAACTGTCCTTGAGACATCAGAAAAGTATGCCAGCATAAAATTTGCTGCCCCAAATTGCCAATCCTTGCTTTACCACAATAACAAGGGTGGTGACTGGTAGTGTCCTTATTGACTGAATGTGGGACAAGATAATAATAGTAATAATAATAATAACAATCCCAAAACTTCTGGAGCACCACTTGAACATCATCAGCATTGACAAAATCACCATCAGTCAGTTGCAAAAGCAGCTTTACTTGGAACGGCTTATATCCTACGATGATACCTTTAATACCATCAAACAGCAATATCTGCCTATCCCAGGTCCTTGATAGGTGGATAAAAATGCCAAATCCAGTCTAAACATCTGGCTGGCTGTGAGACCAACCGTAATAATAATAATAACAAAGGAGCAACAATGGGCCATTGGAATATCTGCAAGAAATACCATTGGCCTGCAAGCAAGAACTAGTGGGACCATAAAACAGACAAAGTATTACAAAATGAAGACGCTAAAGTGTTT